CTGTTTCATGAGAAACTGTTTGTTCTGTAAGCCTTCACCTGAAGTACAATTAAAAAAAAAAAAATAGTCCATGGTGATTCAAAATGGTATCACATCAAAAGCATATTAATTTGGAGAGAATTGCTATGTAATAATTTTATGCATTCCCATCCAAGAACATCATTATGTTTTAACATTTGTTCAATCCTGTTTCATGTTCTTAAAAAATATTTTATAGATTTCTTTCTACCGATCCTGTACTTTCCTTGGTAAATTGACTCCTGATGCCCACCCGGGCCCCTCAGTAGCTCTGAATACTCTACTGTGAGGAACTCCTTCCTCCCACTTTCAGCTCTAGTGATGTTTACTATAATAGAGAAAAATAACTGCACATTTATTTTAGAACCAGCCAGTTGACCTTATCAATTACAGGACTATTTTCTATTGTCTCCTGGGTTTTCTTGGTACAAAAAAAAATATTAGAAAAAATGTACATGAAATTTCTTTTCCTCCTTTTTCAATCATTATTTTAACTGTTTAATTCCTTGTCATAATGATTCCCCATACATGTGTATGATGCTGGTGGTAGAAAGAATCTGTTATGTTCCTAATTTTGAAAAATACTTTTTGGAGTATTTTTACTGACATCAGGTTTTTTTTTTTGATTGGGCATTGGCTAATGAAAACACAAACCCGCTGCTGTCAAGCCTGTGGAACTGTGACTCTATGATTTCTGGCAGCCATTTTGATACTTAAGTGAGGGAAGAGAGCACATAGAGCAGAATGTCAATCTCTGCCTTGAGGTAAAGAAGCTGAATTGCATATATTAAAAAAAAAAACAACAAAAAACCCGTTGCCATTGAGTAGATTCTGACTCATACTGACCTTATAGAACAGGGTAGAACTGCCCCACCGGGTTTCCAAGGAGAGGCTGGGAGATTTCAACTGCCAACCTTTTGGTTAGCAGCTCAGTGCTTAACCACTGCGCCACCAGTGCCCTGAACTGCATATGTGGAACAGTAATTCCCCAGAATAAGACAGATAGCTGCCATCAAGTCAACTCTGACTCACGGTGAACTTACATACAACCGAACAAAACACTGCCCAATCCTGCGTCATCCTTATAACTGCTAGCACATTCGAACCTGTCATTGTGGCTACTGTGCCAATCTATCTCACCGAGGGTCCCCTGCCCTTGTTGGCCCTCTACTTCACTAAACATATGTCTTCTTCCAGTGACTGATCCCTCCTGATGACATGTCCAAAGCAAGTGAGTTGGATAATGTTCTTGCTGTGATCCCTAAGGTTTTCACTGGCTAATTTTTGGAAAATGTCCTTCTTCTTAGTCTATCTGACTCTGGAAGCTCCACTGAAACCTGTCCACCATGGGTGACCCTGCTGGTATTTGAAATACCAGTGGCATAGCTTCCAGCATCACAGCAACACACAAGCCACCACAGTACAACAAACTGCAAATGGGTGGCAGTCCCCAGAATAAAGGAGTTTCAGAAAACACAAAGATACATATATTTCTATGCTTACATTGTTGCTGTTGTGGTTGAGTGCCGTGAAGTCAATTTTGACTCACAGCGAGCCCACGTGACAGAGTAGAACTGTCCCACAGGATATTCTCAGCTGTAATCTTTAGAGTCAGACTGCCAAGTCTTTCTCCTGTGGAGCCACTGAACTGGTTCAAACTGCCAATCTTTTGGTTAGCAGTTGAGTGCTTAATCATTGCAGCGCCAGGATTCCTTAGCCTTACGCAGACACAACTATAAACTGGCTAAGGGTCCACTGAGACCTTGCTACTCAAATACAGTCCATAGACCAGCACAGATCAGCAACACATGGAAACCTGTTAGAAATGCAGACTCAGGTCCCTCCCCAAACCCACTGATCAGAATCTGTACGTTAACAACATTCCTTAGGAGATTCGTATGAAACGGTAAAGTTTAGGGAGCCTAGTTCTAGCACACTCGAATCAACTAGTTGAAAAGAAGAACGCGGAAATAAAAATGTTAGCTTTCGTTCACTGACTCGTACACAAAAAGCAGTTTTGTGGGGGTAAGGCAATGGGGATAAAAAGTTCTATGAGTTACCCTATGGGCTTCTCTCAAAATAGCCATTACCTACTTAAGTATTCTCTGATGGCATCAACAGGAATCTTGGACAAAGTACAGTAGTTGAATTTTCATTCACCTGAATGATTTCAGATCACTGATTAATTCACTACATAGAGCAGCTCCTTCCAAACCTGTATTACTAGAAAATGATTCCAAGGACAATAACCTACAAGATTTGGAGAACATCCTCTGAGTTCACAATAATCACAGATATAAAAACATAAAAAAGAATGCAAAGTTTTAAAATATTTACAGAATTAAACCCTATTTGATAAATTCTGTATAAATACATAAGAAAGAAAGGAAGAAAGAAAAAGACAGCAAGCAAACTAAAAATGGCTCTGTTCAAGTAGGTCTACAACAGTGTCCACCCATCTAGCCACAATGAAATGAAAAATACCAACACGCCTCATTAGGATTACCAACGTTTACACTGACGAACATTCAGCGAGTTTCAGCACTTACCAATGTTTTTGACTCTGCTTTTCAACTGAGTGGAACTCCTCCTCTTACTCTTTGGTTTAGGGGTTTTGTCTTTAGAAGCCAGGCTGGCCTGTGCGGATGCTTTCCTCGTCTTGAATGTTTTGGTCACTGTTGTGGGATCAATGGGATCAGGCATACTGCTAAAGCTTTCCAACGACTCCTCATCAAACTGGCGGCTTCTCCTGCTGCTGTCAAAGTGAGTTTTGCGATTACTATTTGTAGTTTTCTCTACAGACGCTGCGAATCCAGCGTTAATAAATGGTTTTTCCACTTCGCCTCCTTGGTCGTATAACCATGGTGGCCTACTGTTTTCCACCTCCTCTTCAGGCTGTTTTTGATTCCTTATGAATGAAAACAAGTTTTTAAGAATCACAGTTCTAGATTTCTATATTTACTAAAAACTCCAGGTAGACGTAATTTATAGTTCACTAGTGAGTAGATTTAAGTTAATAAAATCATCGATGGGCTGTAAAAATATTTTCACAAAATATGCACAGATATGTAAATATTACACAGGCTACTACACTAAATTGTTTTAAACTTTGTTTTTGTACTCTTCTCACTAAACCACCTCTACCGGAGAAAGTTCCAAATCACATGACCTGGCATGCACGATGACAAAGAATGGAAAAAAAAAGGGGGGGGTGAGACAAAGAGCCACAGTAGAGGGCCTGGGAACGTACATGGACCTGTGTCACTTAAAGTGGTCCAAACAGAACCGAAATTTGGTGAAAACAACTGGCCGTCCAACGACTAATTTATTTCTCCACACACTAAGTCAAGTTCTGCTGCTTTAGTGTCTTGTCCCATACTTCCCCGGCTGAACACCGGCATCCTTAACATGCTAAGGGGTTTTTAATTCATCATCTAAGTTTGGGAAGAACAGGTGAAACACATTTAAACAAGTCTGCTGGATTTCTCAGACTTTTAATATGCTAATTTGCTTTATAAACATCTTAGCGGGAAATATAGTAAGATGCCTAAAGCTTTTTAATCACAGAACCTGATACGGGCAAGTGTTTGGGAGACAATATTGACAGTGTTTGCCTCAAGACAAGGGTCAGTAAACTGCAGCCAGTAGGCCAAAAGTACGGTCCGTGGACTAAGAATGACTTGTATATTTTTAAAGGGCTGAAAAAAATTAAAAGAAGAATAATATTTTGTGACACATAAAAATATGAAATGCAAATCTCACAGTCCACAAATAAAGTATTATTGGAACACAGCCACACTCATTTGTTTATGTGTATTGTCTATGGCTGTTTTGTGCTTAAATAGCAGAGCTGAGTGATTACAAAAGACTGTATGGTCTGCAAAGCCTAAAATATTTATGATTTGGCCTTTTACAGGAAAAGTCTGCTAATCCTTGATCAAGACAATGATGTTTCCGCTTATTTCTTTTTATCACCAGACATTTATTCAGTAAACCTATGATAACTGAGATTTGGGAAAAGATGCAGTCTAATCTAAAGTAGGTCAAATATCTAAAATAATACTAGATTATCCAGATCCATCTTAAAAATGACATAAATACCTAATGTAGAATCAGAATAATTTACTATCAACTACATGTAAAATATGGGTAATAATGAGGTAGGGACCTTCCTGTAGGAAGGCTTATGGAGTGAAGCTTTGAATAAATGTTTATTGCTTGCTGGAGATTCATTCAGTCATTTCTGAATGGCACGTGTGCATAAACATCACGTTAGGCTCTGATGACAGAATGTTTTTTATAAAGCAGCATAAGACTGAACACGAAAAAATGTTTAGGACAGCTAAGAAAAAAAGTCATCAAAGTCAGGTTGGGTCAATCACAGGACTCCAAGAAGGAATACGAAGTTGAATTCTAACAGTTGTTGGTTAATAAAGTCAAAAAACCCAACAAGTTCATGATTTAACAATTAAACAGGGTCGAAAGGCTAATTTAAGAACCCGAGGCATGTCCGATCATACAGCTAATTGAAATTTAATGTAAATCATGGATTTTTAAGGGCTTGAAAAAGCAAAATCAGAGAGACATTTTTGACCAACGGAACCAAGATCAGATCCAGCTGACCTCTAATTTTTTATTCTCCTCCTAAAAACGTTTCTCTGAAGCAAATAACAATACCTAAAGGGCTATAATATTTTCACCAGCTGGCTATCAACATCATTTTCTGAATTTACACTAATAATCACTGAAAATAAAAGAAGTCATTATATAGCTATAAAAATGCCTAACAAATTCTTGACCTGAGCCAATCCAACTAGTCTTTCATATTATCGGAGCCGAAACTTATATTTAGGAAGATTATCATTTAAAAAATAACTGTGAGAATCAGGGAGAAAAAAAAAAAAAAAACTTATCTGTGATTGAAACCATGTATCACTAAAACATCTCAGGCTAAAGCTGTTTTTATAATCTAATAGTACTTAACAATGCATATAAATGGGCTTTCCATACTGATTCTAATCAGGGCTGTGAATCAAAGACAGGCACCACCCCTTAAAGACATCTCCCCCGAGCAGTTACTATTAGTTTCTAGTCTTAAGTCAGTGAACAGAGAACTGGTTTAGCCCTAGAGGTCGATGTCCAATCAATTTCAAAGGACACCCTATGGGTCACATGAATCTCACAGCACAACCTGCACCAAAACTCTGGACTTCTCTTACACTGGGGAGACCTGCAGGTATACGCCTGAGAGACAGCCACTAAAATAGAAAAGTCTCACGATCCCAACACTAACAAGCCTAACAATCACACACATCTTAACTGATTAGTTCTCAAACGACATGTAATCACAAAAGTGTTTTTTAAGCAAATAATGGCTTAGATTCATAATCAAGTACCTTTGTTTTTCTGCTCCAGCAGAAGAACTGCTTTCAAAAGGTTTTGGAAAAGCCATGTATTCTGTTTTCCCTGAAGGATTCTGGGCTAATGGCTGCTGCTGTTCAGTGCGTGTAGAAATATTCTGAGAAAAATCTCCAAAATTAGAAGGAAATAAAGGGCTGAAATTCATACCTAATAAATAAAAGTCATGGGTAGAGAACAAAAAGAAGCATCTTTAGCCTTAATATGAAATAAAAGGGTAATTTTTAATTACATGTACCACTCAAAGTCATCCAAACGAAAAAATGCTAATTAAAATAAACTCACAGCCCACCATGTTTTAGGCACTGGTAATTCAAGGATAAATAATGATCCCTACCCACCACTTAACAGCTAAATGTTAGAAATAATAGTACCTGCCATTTATCAAATTATTACTGGGTGCCAGGCACTATTTCAGGCACTTTACATGTTATTTTGTTTAATACTCAATGGTGTGACATAGGTATTATAATTATTTCACCAGTGAGAAAACAGGCTTAATGGTTAAACATCTAGTAAACAGAAGAGCTGGTAAGATGTTGGGTCTGCACGACTCCAAAGCTTATGTTCTCTCCACTATACTTCAGCTGGGGAGTACAGCGTTCTCAGGTATCTATCACATGGTGCGGTATCAGTGGTATCTGCAAGGGGCTACGAACAGCTTTGCGGGAGAAGAGGTCAGGGGAGGCTTCACAAAACTCAACTAGTTTGTGAAGAATGCATAGCCTTTATACAGCATTGGCACAGGTATAAAGTACATTCCCATTTAAAGGAACAAGCACATATACTTCTTATACTACTTAAAAGCCTACCCAAAACATGTCTGCTGTCAATATTAATCAACACTCAAGAACTAAAAAGCTGGTTAAATTTTTTAAACGCCAATATCTTTATAATCCCGTTAAGAAAACAGACTGTGGTGTATGGATGTTTATATTCACAAAGCCCCCAACCCTATAACCCTCCCGCATTCTTTGCCAAACACCTTCCACTCCTCCTCCTTCGTCACTCACTTCATCTAAGTGGTCACTTAACCTTCTCCTTCTACCTCCATAACCTCTCCTGCATTGCTGTATTTTCTCTATCCTTACTGCCAATGCCAATGCCATCAGTCTTACCCCGGTATTACTGCAACAGCCTTCTATTCGCCACCTAGACTCTAAGCGCCCACATCCAATCTCTCCTGAACACTGCTGCGGTGTAATCCTCCTAAAATATAAATCTCATGTCGTCCCTGCTCATCCTTCAAGGGGTCCCTCTTGTCTGTGCAATATGAAACCTGTTTATGGCCCAGCACAAAAGGCCTCTGCCATTCTCCAACCACACCAGTTACTCTTCTCTGCTGTGACCCTGAATACTACTCACACTTAATCACCACTAAATTCCCTGATACACTACTTTATTCCTTTGCAACTGTAAGTGGTACCGTTGATTATAAGGTCCTTTCCCTGCCAGTCTCCCTAGAAATAAATTCTATTCATTCTCTAGCTTAAATGTCACCTTTTCTGGAAAGGAGAGCTTGCTGACAACCCCTCTCCGTAACGCAGTGTAGGCCACGCCCTCACGGGCACCACTGGGAAGCAGCTCTGGCACTGCACTATCAGCGCTGGCTGACATTCGTAGCTGCCCCACTAGACTCGGAACTCCTTCAAGGGTCAATCTCGTCTCATCTTTCAATCCCCAATAACTCATATAATGTCTGGCACATAACAGGTGTGGAAAACGATGCTTGAATACACATCTAACCTAAACGCATTCGCCTTGATTCTAGTGGTGTATCTCCCTAACAAGACATGAAGCTCCCCTGGAAGAGCACTGTCTTACTCATTTTTACTCTCCTAATGGTTTACACAGTGGCTGGTACACAGCAGACATTGGATCAGTTAATTCCTTTTCCCCTTAATAAATAGTTGTTGAATAATTCAAAGGTCTAAGACTAAGCAATCGTAAGCAGTTTACTTAATTTCATTTGCAACTATGCTAAGCATTAGGAAGAATCAATGTAGAACATAAGAGTTTTGAAAACTTTCTTTGCAAACATCATCCACCATCCCAAAAGAGACTTGTAAATTCATGCAACAGACAAATGAGAGTCTCAAACTCCTTCTGTTTACTTATTTTCTCTTTTAGACACGTACCTGGTGTAAATGATGAAAAATTAGTAAATCCAGGTAGAGGAAACAGATTTACAGGCTGTGCTGGAAAGCTGAAGGGACAAAACACACTGGGAGAAGCAGGGTGTGATGCACTGCTGCCTCGTTCCTTGCTTCCAGGTTTTTCAGGGTGCTGACTTTCTTGGCGCAGAAGTTCATTTAACATTTGCTTCAACCTATAGATATTTAAGACGTCGGTCATTTAAAAATCAGTTATGTTACCATCTCTTTAAAGTATATTCAAGAAAGAATGTAAGAAATGATTCAACAGCAAGCAGAACTGACTGACTGTTCTAATACTTCTAATATCAAACCTCATCTGGCTTTGCGAGTTTAACTCCATAACCTAGCCTTATCAGAGAGGAGGCTAAACTCTAACAAACTCCTTTTTTTTGGTTTACAGTTTTATTGAGTTCAATTCACCCAATGTAAATTCAATTCAAATTATTAAAAACAAAAGTCAAGTCTACAGTATTCAAAGGGAACACTGGGAAAATCACTGCTTATAAAATTCTCAGGTGACAGATGATGGAGATGTCTGAATATGCAATTTGGCTCCTGTCCTTTTTTCCCAGAAGAGAATCGGAAACCAATTTCAGCACTTAGTATAACCAAGAACCTGCTGCTGTTGAGTCGATTTCGACTCATAGCGACCCTATAGGACAGAGGAGAACTGCCCCACGGGGTTTCTAAGGAGTGGCTAGGGGATTCGAACTGCTGACCTTTTGGTTAGCAGCCAACTCTTAACCGTGGCGCCATCAGGGCTCCAGCACTTTAAATACAGAGTCCTAACAGTTCTGTGAAGCACATTACCTCTGAACATTATTCTGCTGCCACGTGAGCTGCGTGTAGCACTGGTTCAGCTGGTGCATTATAAGGTGCACCTGAGGAGAGGCTACATTGCTGGGCATCACACTGTAAGGACCCGTGAGAAGAGTCTGCAGCAGACAAGACAGAGTCTATAGAAAGAAAAATTCTAGTGGTGAATACTGAAGTTACTGATGACATGAAAAAAATCTGTATAACTTCAAAACAATAAAGAACCTATAATTAGATTTCCTTTCACAGTAACTTTACCTGCTGATCTTGCATCAGAGTTTGACAGATACTGACGCTGAAATCAAGCTGTTTCTTTAGCTGATTAATTTGTTCTTGCCATTGTTCTTTCTCTTCTACATAAGAGAGTTCTGACACCCAGCGAAGGTTTTCTTGACGTTGCATGCTGACATTCTGTTGCCTTGTCTTGGCTAAAGGACGGTAATTTCCATCTGCTGAAAAAGGACGATTGTTCTTCCACCTAACACAAGATTTAAAGCATTGAGTCATACGTAATAATTTGGTTTTAAAATTATGGAAATAAAACCCTGATACTCTGGTCCACAGACCTGTCTTCTAAGTTAAATAATTTATAAAGTATGGAAAATAGAAGGGGGGGGGGAATCCAGATTTCTAGACTTATGTAGTTATCATTTTCGAATTCCTGTCCAGTCTTTTTCCATTTGTTTTTACACAGAAGTATCCATACAATTCTGTATTCCGTAGAATGAATACACTCACTATCACAAGTATTTCTCCATCCTTCATGCTTTACGTTTAATCGTATAGCACTGTAATATTACGTAGAACTACTATAATCTACTTGATCATCTTTTATTAATAATTTTTCAGTTATACATAAACACTGTAATGAGTATCTTTGTTGACAGACACTTTTCAATATTTAGGATTTTTCCTTTTTGCTTAATTCCCAAAAATGGAGCGAGGATCAAAGCTTATGAATCTTGACCCAGTCTAGCTGGTATCTATCACAGCAATACTCTTCAAATCAAGCAAAATACTAAAACTAACCTGTTTTTAGTTTCCTTTACGTTATAGGAATTACGATTCACACTGTTAGGAGGACACACAGAGAAGCTGTCACTGGAACTGGCATCTTGCTCTTCCTCTTCCCCCTCTTCATCTGTCCCAACGATCCCCTCGGAAAGGTAACCACCTTCATCACCGTCTTCTCCATCCAGCGCACACTGAGTAGAACCTCCCCAAGTTGCCATCGTTCTAATGATAAGAGACCTCATGTCAGAGATCATGCTGGAGATGAGCTACACATTTTACCACCTACCATGTGTCAGACGCTGTACCAAATGTGTGTGTGCTGTGTATAAATAATCTTATTTAATTACAGTAACTCTATGAGATGGATGGTACCCTACTCATTGCTGTTATACAGAATATGTTTTGTCTGCCTTCCACAAAACAATTCTTCAAATAAATTAAAATAATCATATCTTCTGCAACTTTTTTACTTAACTAAACCACAATTAACTTTCTTCACCCTTCCCTTGAGTGAGTTTTCTAGATCAGCGCTGTCCAACAGAACTTTCTGCAGCAGTGCTTGATGATCTGTCTCTGTGCTGTCCTAACAGCCACTAGCCACACATGGCTACTGAGCATGTGGCTAGTAAGACTGAGAAGGAATTGTCTACTTTACTTCATTTCCATTTAAATAGCTACATTATTTAGTGGCTGCCAGCACTGTTCCAGACCAATGGTTCTCAAACCTCGCTGCTCATCAAATCCATCCAAGGGACTTCTAAAAAGTACAGATGCGTGGTACCCAGGACTAAATAAAATGCTCTAGATACAGTTCGATCAATAAAATGCATATTGGGACTCCAAAAATTGGAAAAGTTCTTCTAAGAAGAGGAAAGAAGAACGCAGCTTAGTGCAGTGTTCCAGAAATGTCAAAAGGAAAAGCCATCACAGATCTGGGTTCCAGAACTGTAGCTCTGACTGTTCCTACACAGGTAAGTAAAGATGTGACTGCACCGAGGACCACGGCTTCTAGAAATACTCTAAACGTGGAAATGTCAAGCTTAAAGACATCCTGAAAACTACATATTTTACATAATAAAGTGTTTTAAGACTTTTACAAACAGTAGATGCTCCATTTAAGTAAAAGAGTAAGTGTTTATTTCTGGCCTGAGAGAAAAACACCACATAATCATATGTGTTTTTTTTTAAAACATGCTTAAAACATAACTAAGAGTAAGAACATAAGGCTTACACGTATGAGAAAATCTGCATCACCATTTAATCTATTTCCATAGTAAGTTTAAAAAACAAAAGATCAAGAAAGAGCAAGAAAACTGATGCTATGAAAAGTGGGAACAGAAGTCAGTGAAGCTGAGTCACAAAGCTGAGCCACAAAACCTGGCTTGACGAGACGGCACACTCGTGCGGTGGTGTAGAGGGGAAACAATACCGTCTAGACCGCAGGCCTTACATAACCCACTGCAGTGAGTCGATTTCGACCCACAGAGACCCTACAGGACAGAGGACAACTGCCCCATAGGGTTTCCTAGGAGTGGCTCGTGGATTTGAACTACCGACCTTTTGGTTAGCAGTCAAGCTCTTAACCAGTGTGCCACCAGGGCTCCAGGCCTTAGATAGGGGATGCTAAAACTATGATTTTTAACAACTCTTACTTTTCTGTCCTACTTTGCTGAGGCGTACACAGGTTCTCAGACCCATCGCTTCTGACCGAGACAGCGACTGGAGATGTAGTCTCAGCTAGACCCTGCCGTCTCTGATGCTCGGCCATCAGAGCTTCCAGCTGCTTTCTTCTCTGCCGCAGCTCTACCGTTAACATTTCGTGTCTTCGCATTTCCGTCCATAGCTGTTTTCAGAAAACCAGAGTCATGGGAGTGTAAATATTTGGATTTGCTTTAGCCTTACCAACAACAGGCTAATACTACCGTCAGGACCAACAAAGCTTCCTATTCTCTCACCACCCTTTCTATACTAAGATATCCATAAAGGTTAAGGTAACATTTTAGTAATGAAGAAGAAAAAGCTAGGCAACCATTAATTCTTAGTGAAAACAATGGAGCGGCCAAATATACTTCACGCACTATGCAGGAAAAGTTAAGATGCTTTCTACAAACCACACGTAAATAAAATGTCAAAGGATAGGTCTTCCTAACTGAAATGATTACTACTTGCTGCAATAGCTCCTTAGATAAAATTCTGCCAAACATCTGCTAATAAAAAGCAAGACTACTTTGAAAAGATCCCAACTTAATTACTTCTAAGAAAACAATGTTTTCTTCCTCCTAACTACAAGACACAAAACAGACCACCATTTAAAAACACGTCTCACAGGTATTCTGCTTCCCTTTTAAAGTGTGACCTAAGACTAACCCAGCAACAACAGGGTACAATATTCAATACCTCGTTATCTACCACTGAAGACTCCTCGGGCTCCAACACAGATTTGCCTGTATTAGTGTCATTTTCGTGAGCAGTTGGTGTTGAAGTAACCGCTGGCAGATAATTTTTTGTGGGACAATTACCCACACTTGTGGCTGACAGCTAAAAAAAGGATTGGTAAAAACTATTAGGAGGAAAATTAAAACAATTATGTTAATGTCATATAAGCAGTTATTTTACTGCCAAAGGGCCCTAGCACCACGATATTCAACGTTATTACCAGATGCGGTCGCTGTCATCCTTTGAAGAAAATTTGACATAAGGAAACGAAGATGAAAACACAGGCTAAAGCTGATGCGTAGTGATGTTCAGGAACGAGGGAAACAATAGGGAAATAATGCAAATGATGAAAATATCGCATACTCAATCCACCTCTGGCACATATTAAAAAATTCCTGTGGATGTTATTTAGGTTGGAACAAAGGGAAAAATATGGATTAGAAAAGTAGAAAAGTTAAAGAGTCTAGAAAACAAGCAGCTATGTTAGAAACATGTCATTTGATGCATTTACCTTTCTTTGAAAACACAGACTAATTGAAGAACAAAGCTAACAAATATATTTAAGAAAAATCTCAAGAGAAGAAACCCCTCACATTTGCCATTACTCCTGATTCTCTGACAAGATCAAAGATTTCTCACTCCCTGTTCAATCTCAAAGACCCATGCATAGGGTACCAACCAATAAGCAAAAGTGTACACACACATTAGTAGTCAAACTACACAAATAATATATAACTATTTTCCTTAGGTAACTGATGATGACTTAAGAACTTTATTACATAATACTAGGCAAGTAGAAGATGGAACTGCTGGTGCCAAATTGCACAGTTCAGACAGAGTATTTTAATATAAATAATTACAAATACCCATGTTCTGATTCTATGGTGAGGTAGCCCAAAAAGCAAAACAATGGAAATAATCAGAATCAATTTCTATGTGCTGTCTTTCATAGAATAAATCTATACGCCTACCCCATTTCACTAGTTCCTGCAAGAATCACAAAATTAGTAGATATAAATCTGTCACATCAGTATTGGAAAAAGATGAAGGGTGCTTTCGGCCTACAGCAGGTTTTACACATCTTTTTTCAGACAAATGGGAAGAACATTAATTTCACAATTACCTGTAGGTCAGGACATGCCTTCTGCAAGGCCTGAATTTTCTCTTGGATCTCAATCAGTTTCCTTCTTTCTTCCTGCAGCTGCCTGAGCTCTCTCTGTTGCTGCCGTAGTTTGGCCTCGTAGAATTGCTCTCTGCAACGACATCGACAGGACAGATGTATCTGCAGACATCACAGTAAGCAAGACGTAACACAGCACCTAGCTGACGGACCACCTTCTCTAGGAAAGTCACTGCAGGTGTTACTCAATGAAGGCCAAAAGCTTAACATACCTTTCCTTCTCATCCACTCCGGCATCTTTCTGCGTTTTGTTGGCAATTCCTCTAGTGTTATTTGGATTTTGTTTGGTGTCTTCTTCTGTCGGGTAAAAATCATCCAAGTTTGAAGTATTGGCTGAGGTAACCCCTTGATCTGCATCATCATCCTAAAACAGTATCATTATATTAACATAATTTCAATATCTAAAGACATTATCCAATTCATACCTTTAAAAAATACGACTAGTCAGTAAAATGTATGCAACATAAAAAAAAAATTAAACCAGTAGAGAAAGCACTTAATTTTTAGAGAACACTGAAGTTCATCTTCTATCAATAGCAGGAAATGAAGTACTAAAATGAAAATCAACACATTTAAAATGAGTTGCCGATTACCCAGTAATGACAGAAATTAAGTAGCCTTTTCTAATCTTGACCAGATACTGAGCTATAGTATTTTAAAACAGAATATAACAAAATAACAACAATACAGCTTTCTGGAGAATGTGAAGAACACTGTATATAATTGGAGCTAATTGCAGCTGGGAAGCTCAAAACAATGCCATATTACAATGAACTTTTGGTACTGGATAAACTTTCTTAAGATTTAACTTTTACACAACCAACTTGAAATAATCAATGTCCACTGTCACTTGCTCTGCTTCCATGTTTGCACCATTTCCCCACTTTGGGGAAAGAAGAGCTACTGCTCAGAATACAAAAGATAAGAAAACAGTTCATCTCAAACCTGCAGTCACTACTGGAAAAACCACCCAAGTTCCTATCTTGCTAAGAAGAGTAGATTCCTACCTTCTGCTAAAATCAACATGCTGTAAAACGGGGATGGGGGAGGAATCCCTGCATTTTCTTGAAAACACGTAACTCTACATACTGCATATGTACTCCTGCTTTCTCTGAAGACCTCAAATGAAACTTCAGTGCTTGGAAATACTATTCTAATAAAACCTTAAAAAGTTAGAGCTGGTGCTTAATTATCAAACTCTCTAATCCACTGTGAGTTCGTAGATACAGTGTTGGCCTAGCCTTTGTATCCATCTAAAAACCAACCGAGTCCACCGCGGGTATGGACAGGAAGATTAGAAAGAAACTGAGTTGGAACTCAAGAAAAAGGAAGATAGATCACGAGGCATTTCCACACAATAAAAGGTAGAAAAATTGAAGAGAAAAAATAAAACAAAGGTGCCTGAACAACTGAAATGGGATAAACTCCAACAATAAAAGAAAGCTGAAAAAGTAACTGGCATTAAATATTACTGTTGATAAACAGAGAAAATATGAAAGTTGTGAAGGGCTTCATTTTACTTGGATCCACAATCAACGCGCAGGGAAGCAAAAAAAAACAAAAACAAAAACCAAAACCAAACCCGTTGCCATCCAGTTGATCCCGACTCATAGCAACCCTACAGGACAGAACAGAACTGCCCCCCAGAGTTTCCATGCAGTGCCTGGTGGATTTGAACTGCCGACCTTTTGGTTAGCAGTCATAGCACTTAACCACTATGCCACCAGGGTTTCCTCCATGGAAGCAGCAGTCAAGAAATCAAACGACATATTACAACAGGCAATCTGCTGCAAAAGACCTCTTTATAGTGCTGAAAACTGAAGAAGTCATTCTGAGCAACAAGGTGTGCCTGACCCAAGCCACGGTGTTTTTAATCGCCTCGCATGCATGCGAAAGCTGGACAAGGAATAAGGAAGACTGAAAAAGAATTGATGCTTTTCAATTATGGTGCTGGCGAAGAATACTGAATACACCATGGACTGCCAGAAGAACGAAAGTGTCTTGGGAGAAATAAAGCCAGAATGGTCCTTCGAAGTGAGGACAGCAAGACTTTGTCTCACGTACTTTGGACATGTTAGGAGGGACTGATAAAGACATCGTGATGCCTGGTAAAGTAGAGGGTCAGTGAGAAAGAGAAAGACCCTTAACGAGATGAAATGACACACCGGCTGCAACAATGGGCTCAAACGTAATGATTGTGAGGACGGCCAGGACCAGGCAGTGTTTCCTTCTGTTGTACACAGGGTTGCTATGAGTCAGAACCGACTCAACGGCACCAAACAATAACAACATTACTGTTGTATCACACTGCGTTACAGACTAAGGAACCAAAAGAGATGGATGTAAGGAGACTTAAAAAAGATACATAAGGTTTCATAAAGGCCTTTATTCTAAGTTGTCCAGACTATCCTAATGAGAACAGAGTGATAATACTGTTATATAATCACGGTGACTGTGTAACTGAGTACACCTTCTCCTGGGTTCTCCTGGAAACAAGGATGTAAGAAAAAGAGAGGAAAAAAAACACTATCCTTACTAAAATAAGTAAAAATCATCAATCTTAAACTAATTTAAAAACTGAAGAGTTCTGATCATTTTTGTCGTAGGTCTTTCAAGAGGAGGCTCTGAATCTCTGTGGGTTGCAGTTTTCATGTTTCTCATATACGTATTTCAAGCCTTAGAACACTTCCTAAAACAGAAAAAATCCATTCAACACAATTTAATATCAAGCTGATTCATCTACAGTCCACCTACTTATTCATAATTTCTTATCTATTATTCCCACTTGGGTCAATAAATACATTTGAGGAAAATAATCTTAAAGGGAAAATGGGAAAGTAATTAACAAATACAATGATGTTCAAGATAGCACAGCCTATTATTACTTGCTTTAGAGTTTTATTTCTGAAATGGTAATTCGGTCACATGATCAAAGTTCAAGAACTAAAAAATCATTTACAAAAGTCTCCTTTCCACCCCTGTTCCCCAAATTATTCCACTCTTCACAGCAACCAATGTTATCAGTTTATGTATCCTTCTATAGTTAGTATAAACAAAAATATATACACACATTTGTTTGTATATATGTGTGTGTGTGTGTGTGTATGTACGTTTCTTGCCCCTTCCCCCTCAGCAGCCCTTCTTATAATAGGGAAAAAACGGAAAGAATCAACAGTCCAATCCCAATAATAGTTAAACAAGCTACAGTATGTCAATATAAAATATAATCAAGATCCTCTCATATATCACTGCTCAGAGTATCAATTAATACAGTCATTCTGGAGAGCAATTAAACAGTATGCATTAAAACTAAAAAGTACAGAAACTCTGACATAGTAATTCCACTTCTCCACACCTACTCTTGAAAAACACACAAATGCACGAAGAGGCTTATAGAACAGTATACACTGGAGTGTTGTTTCCAAATAGTGAAAAGCTGGAAACAATGAAAGTGTCTATCAACAGGATGTTAGGTTAATTACATTACGGTCCATTGATACTATATAATATTGTTTATCTATATAATTATGAAAAGTTCTCCAAAACATTGTGGACTGGGGGAAAAAGTAAGCTACAAAATAATATTTACTGTATTATACAATTTATAAAAAGAAATATAAAATAAAACTTTTTTTTTAATAGGTGCATACTGATGTAAGTAAATGCACAGAAAAAAGTCTGGCAAAACACATTTTGTAACCTGTGTGGAGGAGAAAGGGATTATGAGTGGAGGTCGAGAGAGTTTATTACTAATATGTACATTTTCAAACAATGAAAACATATTCATCTTTTACTTGAGTAATTTAGAATAAGTTGTATTTCAAAAGAAGTTGTAAATGAGTTTTTTTAATCCATGATGAAAACCATTTTTCTATACCTTTATAAATATGGTCAATTTTAGTGTTTTATACTTCATTTCTTTTCAAGCTAAGCAAATCTTAATGAAAACAGACCATCATTTGTTAATTCTACCAGAGATGAACTACCTGCTGGTATTATCCAAGTTACAATCATCAGGGAGCCCTGGTGGCACAGTGGTTAAGAGCCTGGCTGCTGAACAAAAGGCCGGCAGTTCAAAGACACTATCTGCTCCTCGGAAACCCTACGGGGCAGTTCTACTCTGTCCTACAGAGTCGCCATGAGTCAGAATCGACTTGACGGCAATGGGTTGGTTTGGTTTTAGAATCATCATAAACACTAGAAATTTTGGCTTCCAAAATTCATGCAGATTTCAATATTTTAGAAAGCGACTTGAAACCAATTTTTATCATGATCACATTATTGGAAAAAGACTAGGGATGTATCACAGATAAAGAAGATGAAAAGGACTGCATTTTCTAAAATTAAGTGATTTTTGTTGCTTCAGATGGAGTATACATCGTCTAGTAAACAGCAAAAAGCTAAGCGAGTCTCTTCGGACCGTATCAATCGGTACAGCACGGTTAACAACTATGTAATTACATGTTCATATGCAAAGACTGATTTTTAAAATCCATGACTGACAGTTTCAACTGCACTTACTTGCTCTTACTGTATAAGACAACATACACTTTTTAGCAGTTTCAGATCTCAGGCTGTGGCATGAGAGTGAATTCTGGCTCTCACGGCTGTACAACCTTGGACAATTGACCTAACAGCTTTTAAACCTGCTGAATACCAACATGTCACTGAGATGCTAGGAGTTCTCTGTGATAGAAGGCAAGGGTCATCAGCAAATTACAACACATGGGCCAAATAAGGCCCAACACCTATTTTTGTAAATCAAGTTTTATTGGAACACAGCCATGTTCATTTGTTTACATACCGTCTGGGGCTGCTTTTCTGTTGAGTAATTATGATAGAAGCTACAAAGCCCAAAATATTCACTAAGTCATCCTTAACTGGAAAAGTTTGCCAACCTCTGATACACTGCATGTGGAAGTATTTAAACCTGGCATAGAGCAGTAACTCAATAAATGTGTACCAAGATAATTATCAAACACATATACAAACTTCACATTATAAGACTTTACTATCTGACAAATAGATTTTTTGTTTTTTTTTTAAATGAAGCAATAGTTACCTGTACCATAGCAACAAGATCTTGTAACTGCCTAAGCTTCTGTTTTGCAGCCATGAGTCTACTGATCTTCTGTTCAAATTCAGCATCTTCTGGAGCCTCCTCAACCAGACTGCTCCTATGACTGGACAAGGAAGCTCCGCTGGCTCCCTCCTCTTCTGCATCTTCCTCTTCCTCGTCATCCTCCTCACCCGGCGCCACGTGGATCCCATGTTCTCCCTCTCTATTGTACCGACAGTCTGTTGAACACATGTGTCACTGACATCAATAACTTCTAGATACATTTAAGAGCACTAAGGAGAGGAAACGCACTTCCCAAGGACACCCCGGCCCATCATACCTAAGGAAGAAGGCAGGTTTGGAGCTCTCATGCTGGCAGCACATCTGTTGTTAATCTCACAGTTAGAATTAACTGATCTCCCATCCTTATTATTAGAAATGCACTGTGCATTCGTATTAGTATTTACTTCATTCCAGGTGGCGGCTACTTGTGGATTTCTAAAAGGAAAGAAAACAGACTGAAGCTATTTAAGCTGCTGATAAAATAATTCCAAACTAAGAACATTATTGACTATTTCCTCATTTAAATTCAAATAATCTAATAATTAAAAAAGTAGTTCCTGCTTTTCATTAGAGATTTCTGCATATATGCTACTTGGAAATTTAAAAAAAAAAAACTCTAGAAATAAAAATTACACCTAAAAATAAAGAAGCAGGAAAAGGCTTAGTCAGATACTTTCTTTGTATTTTATCAAACAAACAGCAAAGGTACAAAACTACTGCACTCAATACTTCCCTATTTGTTCAGAGACTATTTCACAACACTAGGACCTTCTTTCTGACAGGACAGTAGGATTACACTGATCAAAACAGGAGACTAAGAGGAAAAGCATAAAAAAGAGCAAATAGCAAGCACTAACTGTTAGGGTACTTCTTCCATGTGAAAAGTGTTAGGTTGGGATGACCATGTTAGAAAAACAAACTTAGAGAACCGTCCTAACCGAATGTTGGTGACAGGCTCAGGACTTTCATGCTCAGAATCATATTCCGACTCTTCAGTTTCTTCATCTTTTGTGTTTTCATTCACAGCGTCTGTCATCATATCTGATGTCTGTTCGTAATAATGAACTAATTCTCTTAGTTCATTCAATCTCTTTCGGACTTCATTTAACTTCCTGATGAACAAACAAAACACACACATGTATATACATATATAACGTATACGTATATGTTAATATATAATATTAATAATATAATATTTATATCCATTATAGTAAAATAAAGTATATGTTATTTTTATATTTTATAACAGGAGCACAAACAAAATTTGGACCCAATCAAATATCCAGGAATATGACTGTAAAGTAATGAGTTTAATTTCAAGTATGGTTTATTCAAAATCTCATTACTGTATTTTCATATGTTGTATTGGGGACAAAAGCATAAAAGAACAAATCTTAATTTAACTATTCACTTTAAAAATCAACAAAAAAAACAAACGCATTGTCATCTAGTCAATTCTGACTCATAGCGACCGTACAGGACAGAGACGAACTGCCTCATAGGGTTTCTGAGGCTATGATCTTTACAGAAACAGACTGCCACATCTTTCTCCCAAGGAATGGCTGGTGGGTTCCAACCACAGACCTTTGGGTTAGCAGCCAAGTACTTAACCAACGTGCCCCCCAGGGCCCCTCACTCTTCACTTTAAGTAGATATAAATTCTAAAAAGCATAAAATTCCGTCAAAAATATTCCTAAGTCTCTTAATGAGTATTAAAAGTGCAAAGTACTAAATATCCAATTTAAACACTCAGGCAAATCTAGTAGGCAGGACAGTACTGAGCATTTACAGAAGCTTCCTGATTTGTCCACACCACATACAGTTCTACAAAATATGTTTATCAAAAATCACAATTTAGATTTGCTGAGTATTTCCTAAAAGCCAAGAACTATGCCAAGTGTTTTTTAATCCTTAAAACACCTTCATGAATAAGTATATTATTCTCTCTATTTTGCACATGAGGAAACTGGCTAAGTGAGGCTAAGTCATCGGTCCGAAGTCACACAGCCATAGTACGCTATAATCTCAGGGCTGTCTGACTCTAAAACCTGGGCTCTAATCCATTTGAATACAGAAATATTTTAATTGTAGTCCCAGCAATTTCTGATCCTCTATTTGAAAAATCAGAATAAAATAATATTAGCTCACAGAAATTACCTATGTTACAATGTCACATTTCTTTTGGACAAGTCAAAGACATATAATAAACACACACACCTCTTCTATCACTTGAAAACATTTATCATATTAAATTCAGTTTTTCCAGAACGTTCATATAATCAAAGAAAAATGAACAATCTGTCCCCATTATTCAACTCTAATCTATGTAAACAATGTTTCTAAAATGTTTACTGGAGTTTTTCAGTTGGGTTTAGATGGCCTTCGTTTTCACTTTCATTCTGAGAAACGAGAGCGGCAGTTGGATAAGGAACAGACGACGTGAGGCTAGTGGGCTCTCCGTTGCCGACTGCTGCTAAGCCTCCAGGAGCAGAGGGAGCGGAAGATGTACTTCTCTGATCCACACTCCTCAGAGGGGAGGCTGCAGACGGTACAACTAGAAAAAAGAAGAAAACTATCAGTTGCCAACCATAAACAGACAAACAGGATGTCGAGCAACTCTTATTCACAGTTTGCTTGGAGGGAGAAAAAGAAAAATCATAAACATCTTCAACTGTGCAGACCCAAAATTTTAGAAATTTAAGGATCTAACACTTAGACCACTTTTTTATTAAGATACCCCGCAACTAAATACATCAAAACGTACAAAGAAGACACACTGTCACTTCTTTTTTTCAGATTCCAAAACTTCTGTATTCTAGCCCCTGGGTTAAAACAGAAAGAAGGAAAATTGACAAGAATTACATCTTCCCTTGAAAAAGTCATGAGAGTATACTGATAAACCTGGTTCTGGGCTAAGTGAAATGGGCCAATGTGCATGGTGTATAATACACAGAGCTAAGTCTTTACAGAGGAGCCCCAGCTGATGAGTCTTTGAAGCTTTCCAAATCCACAAACTCAGAGGAATTACATCTGGCCTCTGATAGAAAGCAAAAGTATTACAGTGGCTGTGGTATATCCATACCACGGACTGCTACTCAGTAATAAAATTTTCTAATTAGACGATAGTTTATTCTCTATAGTCTTTGGACTAAATTTTAATTATTTTTCTGTCCACATACACCTGCCAAAGATATTTTATGCCTTCTAGGGCAATTAATAAAGATTAGGAATCCCTGTCCTCCTCTACCTCCTTCAAAACTTTGTCTTCTATCCCTTTTTTCACAGGACCGTCATACTGGTTGCTCGCTTCTAATGCCGTAACTGCTACAACTAGTTCCCGGTAGTGTCTTCCGCCTGCTCCTTGACCATCCTACCCTTCGCTGCTGCTTGCATGCCTTCCCACGGCGGGCGTGGGTGACCTTTTAGTCACCAGCAGGCAGAGAGTTACTTTCTTTCTGCATTTAAAACTGCCCACAGGCCCTTAAGCACAACTTTTGAATTTTAACTTTTCCTTAGGTTGCGTTCATCTGTTTGTGAGGACAGGGCTGGGATTAGATTACACTCTGGAAGATGAGGAACTGGCAAGAGGTCAGAGAAGAGAAAGGAATACATTTGAGGGCTCTTGACAGGTGACACAGAACCAGGAGTTGGTAGAGAGTGAGGAGCAGGGACTCCGGAGATGCTATGTCGATCCCCTGCCTCTTCTTCACCAAGACGGGCTGCGAAGAAGCGTGGCCAACAGAGCATCCCCTACTGACCCGTTTCCCTATATGCTGTTTGTTTGAGAAGGTACGAGGACAGCAAGTGAAGCCTAGTCATCAGGTCTGAAATCGGCAGAGCAAGTGAGCTATGCGTGCGGCAGAAAGGACAGTTCCTTCACTTACAGCTGGGATGACTATCTGTATATTTTAAAAAATGCAAGTTAAGTCCAGAGATCATATGTTACGGACTTAATGCACTAAAGCATATGTACTCTATAAACTTTTCATATCTCGCTTTTTCCTCTTTTTGTATAAACGTTCTCTAAATCTGTGTTTAATAGTTTCAGAGTTTTTAACCCAAAGTATTAATTTGAATTAGTTTTTCCTTAAGGGAAAACACTAAACATCCTGTCTTAGTTATGTAGTGCTGCTGTAACAAATACCACTAGTAGATGGATTTAACATACAAAAATTTATTGTCTCACAGTCTAGAAGGCTACAAGTCCAAATTTAGGGTGTCAGCTCCAGGGGAAGGCTTTCTCTGTTGGCTCTGGGGGAAGGTCCTTGTCATCAATCTTTCTCTGGTCTAGGAGCTTCTCGGTGAAGGGATCCCAGGTCCAAAGGACATGCTCAGCTCCTGGTGCTTCTTTCTTGGTGGTATGAGGTCCCCCTCTCCTCTCTGCTCACTTCTATCTTTTATATCTCAAAAGACATTCTTTCAAGATACACCCTAATCCTGCAGATTGTGTCCTGCCTCATTAACATAACTGCCTCTAATCTTGCCTCACTAACATTATAGAGGTTACGATTTACAACACATAGGATAATCACATCAGATCACAAAATGGAGGACAACCACACAATACCAGGAACCATGGCCTAGTGAAGCTGACACACATTTTGGGGGGGACACAATTCAATCCATAACCCATGCTAAACAATGAAGGATTATTTTGTCCAAGTTATCCAATAGTTACTTGATTTTCTACCTATTTGGCTTTTATCATATAACTCCTTTTTATTTAAAAACTTTTAACATGCAAGTCTCACCTCCCCACAAAAATTATTTTCTTACAGAACAATGTGTTTACTCATTCATCAAATACTTACTATATAACTATTACATGCTAGCATATACACTTACACGTTCTCTATAGTACCTAATAGTGCGGAGCAAGATTTACTTACATGAAGAATTGTTCAGATGCTGATCTCGAAGTGTGTGAAGTTCTCCAAGCAATCTGTCCATTTTCTGTTTCTTTTCCTGTAGCACTCTCATTTTGCTGAAAAGCTGGACTTTCTCATCAGGTGAACGTTCCGAAACGGATGGATTCCTGCTCTGGGAAACCTCCCTTGTTAATGAAAGACTTTCTGCCTGTCTTCTATTGTCTGGAACAGCTGGAGGCTTTCAAAAAAGCAGAAAAATTAAAAGCTAAGGTAATTAAGGGTTACAGTTTCACAGTCTCATTTTAAAAGTGTATAAATATTCTTCACATATATGTATTAGATAGACAGATAGATTGCTAAATTACTCTCTAAAGTGGTTGTACCATATTCTTTTATTTTCACTTGGTCAGCAAGACACAAGGCAATGCTTCTTCTCCAATCATACTCATTTCAGTGGAGAGGCATTATTAATTCATCCTTCCTTCTCCAATGCCCACAGATGAAAAATCTGCATTTCTGTCATTATTTACAAAGGTCATCATATTACAACACCTATTAACCCTCAAATTAAACTTAAGAACCTTCTTAAAACTGTTAGTAAAATATTACAAGGACATAGACTTAAATCTAAGACTTAAGATTTATGACAATTAACAATCTTTTGAGGAAAAAAAATCGATGTGTTATCTAGCAGCATACCAAGGAAAAAAATTATTCAATTCATTCAAAGTAGATTTTCTTGTAACATAGCATTTCTCAAAGTACAGTCCCCAGACCCAGAGCACTAGAATCAAAAACCAAACCCAATGCCATCAAGTAGGTTCCAACTCATAATGACAGAGGACAGAGTAAAACTGCCCCATATGGTTTCCAAGGCTGTAATCTTTACAGAAGCAGACCACCACATCTTTCTCCCGCAGAGTGGCTGGTGGGTTCCAACTCTGACCTTTTGGTTAGCAGCCAAGCACTTAACCACTGCACCACCAGGGCTCCCTGGACTAGAATCACCTGGGGGAAAGCCTACCACAAACCTATGAATCAAGCAAGGAGACCCTGCTGATAAAGGTATCTGCATTTTTAAATCATCATGCCAAGTGATATTAGGTTCACTAAGGTTTGAGAACCACTGTTCTAACTAACATGAAGTTAAACTCAATTACACTCAAGAAATCAAGTTACCTGAGAATCACGGAGCTGATTATGAAAACGCTGAATCAAATCATTTAATTCTTCATTTAATTCAGATGTTATACTGATTCCTGATAGACTACCTGTAGTTTCTGTTACAATTAGAAAGAAAATGAACAACTATTCATTAAAACAAACAAATTGAACATCTTTTCAATTTGAGAAGCTAAAAATAAATTTTGAAAATAAAAATACACTTAAAAAATTAAAAAAGCCTAACATAATTTGAAACAAGTTAACCTTCAGATTTATCTGTCAACCAACACTTTCATTAAATGTTCCCACCTCACCTAAAGGTAAAGGGAGACTCACAAAGCCCTGGTATAGTGGTTCATCTTTTTTTCCCAACATAACCGGGAGGGATACAAATGTCCCAATGGACGGCAGTGACTCAGTGGGGTGAGTACAGGCATCTATCAGCCTGTCTGGGTTGGGGCAACAGGAGGATAAGTGACAGCCTGAAAAGCACAGCTGATTCTTACGGGTCTCAAGTCTCCCCTCCCCGAGAAAATCAGTGTTCTAGTACACAGGCTGGCAAACTGGCTCTGAAAGGGTCGGACAGTAAATATGTTAGGTTTTGCAGGCCAGTTTCTGTTCCAGCTGCCTCGGGAGGGCAAAAGCAGCCCCTGACAGTAGGTAAACAAATGTGCACGGCTGAATTCCATAAAACTTTGTTAACAAAAACAAGCAGTGGGCCAAATTCAGTTGGGATATAGTTCACCAAAGCCTGCAGAAGAACAGATAATTTATTAAAGTAGTTGCTTGTAATACAAGTCACACCAAAAGACAGTGGTTTTTATCATCTTAAAAAAAATGTTTTTTTCATATTCCGAAGGTAGTTTTCTGACAACAGCTCTGATTATCAGTTGCTGCTCTACTACCCAGCCAACCCACTGTTACCCTCACTTCCAGGTCTCCAGTTCTAAAAGGGAAACAGGCGATAAACTGCCTTTGTCAGAAAGAAAAATACCAGCTTTTCTCACCAAGAAACTAGACTTAGAATTTTAGGGCAGGATGAAACCTCACTTATCTAGTCCAAACTCTATTTTGCTAAGAAAGAAATTACAGTCCAAATAACTAACATACAATTTGCTAGTTAAATGGCAGGAGGAACACTCTTTCCCACAAGAAGTATGCTACCTCTTTTATATACCAGAAGATTAAGTATTATAATTCTGGTTTTTTATCAGTATTCTGCTGCAAAATCTCATAAAAATGGGGAAATTTGTTTTAATATTACTACATTCATTTTTTTTAAGTTTTGAAATAGCATATAAAACAAATTCAAATTCAAAACTATTCATTCTACTCTTGTTCCCTGCTTCATACCATGCTTTTTAAAAAGAGATTACCTGCTTACTTAAAAAAAGGAAAAAAAAAGTTCCTATCAGAAATACAAAGACGACTCCTTACTTAGAATTGATTCTACTGCATGAAATCACCAACTGTGTTGAGTTCTTTCTCTATAAAATAAGAATGAAAGCTTTGGCTACTAACCTGAAATTCTGGAAGATCAAATAAGATGATGTATATGTGAATGACTGAAATTAACGTAACTATCAAAGAAAAGACCTTCAAATCTGATACTCCAAACTTGAAAATTATTCAAAACATTAAGTCATTGACCAAATTAGTATTAGTCATTACGTTAAATTTAATTATTTGTTGCCTAAACTATTTACTACATACAAACACAAAAGCTAATAATACTTTAGATTTTACAAGGAAAATACAGGGATCAAAATATGTGTAATTATTACTATTTACTATACTATATTACTAGATACTACTATATAATTATAACAACAGTCTAAGTTACTTCAAAGTCATGAAGTTCCTTATAAAAATGCAGAATAAATGAAGTAGCAGTGATCTGGGCCAGCAGACCAGGTGTGGGTAGCAGGATAAAATGAGTTCCAACAGGACAACCTTTGTAAGGATGTAACCCAGTGGCAAGAACAGAGTGCCCAAAAGAAGAAAGGTTATCATTAGACTGGGATGGCGGACATGGTCCACTAGTTTAAAACCTTATTTTGACTGACTTTTAATAAGTAATAATCTTGTTTTCAACTTAATGAGAAATTAAACACTTAGGTCTGAAGGTAATGAGACAAACTATAAGATGAGACTCGATTCTAAAGAATTCAAAACAATTTTTACCTCAATGAGACATGGCTACAAGGGAAAGAGGAAGAAAGAAAAGACAGCTTCTGAGTCTCAGGACAACACTATAGAATAAATATAGTTCCAAAGAGCTACTGTATGCAACTGGAGATCTAACTGAAATCACAGAAGCTAAACCTAAAAATGTTCTATTCATTTCTGCAACACCTCACTTAAAAGGTTAAACATTAATCCTTCCTTGAGAGCAAGCAACAATCCTAGCTGAATTCAGTAGAAAAGATGAGAATAAAAGCATCAAGGCCCCTATTAGTCTGAGGCACAAAAAGCACTACAGCCTGTCCCTTTTACCTCGTAAAGGTACTCTCTGATGCAAAGGCGAGCGAGCTGGCTGTCTGCCCGGCGCAGTGGGATGGTCAGCTGTGGTCCCTGCAGCCTTTTCTGCGTAACCAGAGAGAAACACAGGACAGGATGAGCCTCACACGCAGCTTTCTAGACTAGCTAACAACCAGCAGCCACTGTGTGCCCCATTATCACTAAGACCCCAAGACTGGCGCACCAGCATCGTCCATCACGGCCACAGCCTGCTCCGCCTTGTGCTGCAGGGCCAGGAGAGCAGCCTGCCGGCCCTGCAGAGCTCTCAGCTGTTCCTGCTGCTGCAACATCCTTCTTAATAGATCGTGCTGCTTCTTCAGATCTTCTATCTCCTCCACAGGCTCCTGCTGAGGGTCCCTGGCCTAGAAAAGACGACCAACAAGACTTACATCTGATGAGTGAAATCAATGTTCCTGTTTCAACTACCAACGGCAAGGCTCATAAGTAGATAATAAATTAGCATTAAATACACAGTCCTAGACAGTTTTAGCGGACTTGAAGAACGACACAGAGACGGCCTGCCATGTTAAGAGTTAGGTAATTTCATGGTGAAAGACCATAAGCAATGGTTTAGCGTGAAGAAAAATCAACAAAATAAAGTACAGAAAAAAGGCGTATGATAAGGAAGATGAGAAGGCTGAGAGGATAAAAGGAGCCCCCCCACCCCCACACACAGACACCCCCACACACACACCCACACACGCACACCCACAGACACACCCACACACAGACACACCTCCACACAGACACACCCACACACAGACACACCTCCACACAGACACACACACACACACACACACGGTCTACAGTTTGGTCTTAATAACAGAGTTATAGGAGAAATTCAGAAAATCTCAGAAGTTTTCTTTTGCTCACTCTTTCAAACTCTAGCTTGTGTTGTAAGCTAGCAGAATGACATGTTCACACACACACCCCCACACAGACACACACACACA